TGGTGCTCAACCTAATGTGCTCTAAAGAAATGGCAGTGAAGTCCACCAAAGCTTTACTTTCACCGGGCATAGTATCTGAACAGAAGTCTTCATTAACTGTTTTATCAATTCATAGACTTCTACTTTCCCATTCAGGGGTGCAGAGATATTTTCTTTGTCTTCTCCCCTATGTTATTACAGAGGCTTCGTGCCTCGTTCAGTGGTTGAGTGTTGACCCAGGAACCAAGAGATGGCAGTTTTATTCCAGGTCAAGACACATGCCTGAATTGTGGGCTTGATCCCCAGAAGGGGGTGTGCAAGAGGCTGATCGATGATGTCTCTCTCCATTGATGTTTCTCACTCTCTCTCTCTCTCACTTCCTCTCTCTCTAAAAATCAATAAAAACATATTTTAAAAAAGAGAACATGTTCTTTAGAAAAAAAGAAGACGTCATAGCTCCTCTGAGATTCTGTTGTTTGCACCTCTACTCCTGGAATAAAGTTCTACGTCTTTTTAGGGTAGTTTGGTATTTTGTTTGCAAGAAACAGGGTCTCATGGAAAAGTGCATGGGGTGGGTATACTGTAAGGATATGGGTGATCTGGAACTGGAAATCTACAGAAACTGGGACTGGTTCCCGTCTTTTCTATCTCTCAGGCCCCACAAGGCCTCTCTCATAGCATCCTCTCTCTCACTGTCACCTCCCTAAGCGTTGGGGATCTCATTAAGTTGGTGATTCATTTTTAGACTCAAGTCATCCTTAAATCCAATCATCTGTGATCAGGGTCCAGTTAGGGTCACTTAAAGCCCAAGGCTGCAAGTAAAAGGATGGAAAAAGTTACCATGAAAGTAGCAATAATAAAGATGGAGAAGCCATACTAATACCAGACAAAATAGACTTTAAGACAAAATATAGAGATAAAGATGAACATTTTATAATGATAAAATGGTTAATCCATCAGGGAGTTATAACAACAACAAAATAGCCCTGGCTGGTGTGACCACGTGATTAGAGTATTGGACTGTGCACCAGAGGATCATTAATTCAATTTCTGTTCAAAGGCATGTACCTGGGTTGGGTTGCAGGTTTGGTCCCTGTCCCTGGTCGGGGCACATGTGGGAGGCAACCCATAGGTGTGTCTCTCTCACATCAATGTTTCTCTAACATTGAAGTGAGAATTGCACAACTCTTAGAATACACTAAAAACAATTGAATTGTATATTTTTAAATGGGCGAATTGTATAGTATGCTAATTATATATCAATAAAGCTGTTAAAAACACACACAAAAAAACAAAAACCAAGGCTGCTTTTCTTTAGCTGTTGGGAGCAATGTAATCAGAAGGCATCATGAAGAGAGACAGCCTGTCCTAGACAGAAGGCCAAGATGGGGAAGGCTAAGCTAAGGCAGTGGCCATGGAGGTGCTCCAACCCGTAGCGGGTGTGATGTGCTGCACATGGGCTTGGGGAAAGGGAAAGGTCCAAAAAGAAGCTCCCTCACTCTCCATGTTTAATTTGTCACCAGGTCCTTCTGACTCCTAACAGATCTCCCTGGTGCCTATCTATCCCCCTGCTATAGACTGAATTCTGTAACACCCCCTCCCCCACCAAAAAAATGAACAGATTGAAATCCTAACCCTTAGTGTGATGGTACGTGGAGGTGCGCCTCTGAGAGGTGGGCCCTTTGACCGAGCCCTAATGAATGTGATGGAGCCCTTATAGAGGACACCCCAGAGAGCTCGCTCACCTTGTCTGCCACAGGAGGACACGATGAGAAGATGGCTATCTGTGACCCAGAAAGTGGGCCCTCACTAGACACCTATCTGCCAGCACCTTGATCTTGGACTTCTCAGCCTCCAGAATTGTGAGAAACAAATTTCTGTTGTTCATAAGCCCCCATCCCCCGCATCCCCACCGCCCAGTCTATGATATTCTGTTATAGTATTGCAAACAGAGTAAAGACACCCTTCATTCAACCCATCTTGTAAACTACCCCATAGTTTCCTTCCTAAAACTCCAATCTAATTGTGTCACTTTATTTCTCAAAATCTTTCAAAGAGGCTGAACCTGGTTTATCTCTCACAGCTCTCCCACAACCACCACCCCACCCCCGGTCCCGCCCCTCACTGTGCACAGGCGCACACATGTCCTTCGTTACAGCCACGTGTCTCCTTTGCTCACCCTGTTCCATCAAGCTGGAATGTCCTTCTGCCTCCACATCTAAAAGGGTTGAAATTATCTCCATTCTTAAAGGCCTGATTATAATTCCACGACCTTCATGTAACCTTTTCTTTTTTTCCATTTTACTTCCCACTCTTGGAGCATGCAGCCTGATAGAGAAGAGAAATGCGACAATTGAGTTCTGTGCTACAACGTGATAGTGCTCTGGCTGGTGTGTGCACAGTGTCCTCGAGGACAAGGGAGGAAGGTAGAAACTGTTCAGTCAGTTGAAAGATTGAAAATTCCACACTCGACTTGACTCCTTAGAACTTGGTAAGGAGGCATTGGTTTAACCTTTGCCTGGAGGGTACCTTTTCACTGCGTGGCTATTTTCTTAAGAGCAGGTCTCTGCATTTTTTGCTGAGTATAGTTGCCCATAGGAACTATGGGTCAAGTCTGCAACCTGGGCATGCGCTCTGACTGAATCGCACTGTGACCTCCTGGTGCATAGGTCCATGCTCAACCGCTGAGCCATGCTGGCTGAGCTGAACTGAGTCTTTTATTTATTTATTTTAAAAATATATTTTATTGATTTTCTTACAGAGAGGAAGAGAGAGGGATAAAGAGATAGAAACATCGATCAGCTGCCTCCTGCACACCCCCCACTGGGGATGTGCCTGCAACTGAGGTACATGCCCTTGACCGGAATCGAACCTGGGGCCTTTCAGTCCACAGGCTGACGCTCTATCCACTGAGCCAAATCGGTTTTGGCTGAATTGAATCTTTAAAAAAAAAAGTTTTTATTGATCTTTAGAGAGAGAGAAATGAGAGGGACAGAGAGATATAAACATTGATGAGAGAGAAACATCATTGATAGGCTGTATCCTGCACGTCTCTATTGAGGATCAAGCCCCGTATTGGGGATCAAGCTCACAATCCAGGCATGTGCCCTGCTTGGGAATTGAACCTGTGATCTCTTGTTTCATGGCTTGATGTTCAACTACTGAGCCACAATGGCCTGGCTGAACTGAATCTTGAAGGGTGCATAAGAATTGTCCAGAAAGATTGGAAGGGCATTCCAGGCATAAGGAACAGTGCATGTAAAGGTAGGGAGAATTAAAATAGCATAGAGTATGGGGAATGACTACATGGATAACTAACCCCCTTTGAATTGGGTTCGAAATGAATGGATTTGATACCCAGTTCTATTTTAGAATAACTATATGTATTACATGTTTCCTATGGGCAACTATACTTAGCAAAAAATGAGTGTCTGAATTTTTTAATTTGTTGAACTGTCATAAAAATAATTTCATAAAAGTTCAAGAATCTCAGACCACATACAATTTGACATATTGATTTTTACCATTTTCTAAAAAGATCTCCAAACCGGGATGAACATCAGAATCACCTGGAAACTTTAAAAAAACAGATTCCTGGAGCCCAAGTCAGAGTTACTAAATTTTTCCTGGGTGGGGTCCAGGATTTAACCCAGTCTTCTCACTTTATGATGAGAACGAGAGACCCACCCACAGAATGGAGCTGAGACCAGATTTTTAGCTTTTTCATTTCTGTTTGTGGTCTTGCCACCTTATTCTTCTGCTGCCTACCAGATCACCTTCCTTTCTCACCATCATGGCCAATCATAGCTGTGTGTGGCTAAATACTGTGTGAGCTACAGAGGTTTAGCCTTTAAAGTATAGATATAACATCTATCTTGATCTTCACATTCTGCCTCTCTACATTCCATTATTATAAGAGAATTTGATGTACTATCGAAGTTTTATGTCACTTACTTTAAATTTTTGTTCCATTTTTCACTCCTAATTCCTAACCACATATATTTAAAAAATTGAGACATAACATAAATTCCACAAACTCACCATCTTAAAGTATACAGATGAGTGGTTTCTAGTATATTCACAAGGTTATGCAACCATCATCAATCACCAACTAAGTCCAGAATATTTTCTTCACCAAAAGAAACTCAGTACGCACAGCAGTCATTCCCCATTCCCCATCTCCTAGCAACCACTAATCTACTTGACTACATTCTGTCTCTATAGATTTGCAAATTCTGTATATTTCATATAAATTGAATAGTACAATATGTGATCTTTTCTAACTCTTAGCATAAGAGTCTTCTATCACTTAGCATAATGTTTTCAAGGCTAATCCATGTTGTATTTATCAGTACTTTATTTTATGGCCTAATAATATTTCATTGTATAAATATACTACATTTTGTTTATCCATTTATCTGCCAATAAACATTTAAATTTGGCTATTATGAACAATGCCATATATATATATATATATATATATATATATAGAGAGAGAGAGAGAGAGAGAGAGTGTAAACATCCTATATAATAAAAACCTAATATGCTAAGTGTCCAACTGTTCAACCATCCAACCATTTGCTATGACACACACTGATCACCAGGGGGCAGACTCTCCAACGGGTAAGTTAGCTTGCTGCTTGAGTCCTGCTGATGGGGACTGAGCAAGACAGCTGGACATACCCTGAAGCCAATCTCCCACAATATTTCTGCTAATTAATTTCCTTTCAATGGGTATGAATCCATGCACTGAGCCTCTAGTATGTTTATAATTCTCTTGTGCATATGCCTGGGAGTGTAATTGCTGGATGATATGGTAATGCTGTTTAACTTTTTGAGGTCCTGCCAAACTGTTTTTCATTATCACATATATTTTTACAGTGAAGAAATAGCATTTTTAAGAATTGGAAGCCATTTGGCCGCAAGGGGGGGAAATCAGAAATCATATCACTCAGAAGTAACACAATTTAGAGGTTTTAAGTATGGAGGTACACTGGCACATACTTCTCCCTCCTGAAATCACAATAAAATGATAATAAAATATTTTCTTTTAAGATGTAAACCCTCATGGACATAGAAAGAAGAAAACAATACAATTTTTTTTCAATGGGTAATAATCATGCCTCGGATAAACCTCATTGGCTATGATACTGCCACTGCGCAAAGCTGTATAACAAAATGTTTTGCTGTTAAAAAGCAGGTGGACAATGATAACTGACTTACAGCAGGCCAAAAAAAGCTAAGGCATAAGCCAGCAACAGGAAAGTCCAGTAGAAAGTTGATTGTCATCACAGAACCTCAAAAAGGCTTAGATGTTAGAGATACCAGACATCCCTAAAAGTGGGAATACAGATGGGGGTGGACAAAGAGATCAGATAAAAGTTTGTAAAAAGTTTGTACTATCATATTCATACAGCATTATTCACAATCGCCAAAAGGTGGAAGCGACCCAATTATCTGTTGATGGATAGTGGATAAACAAAATGTGGTGCATGCATACATCGAATAACCCAAAAAAGGGGAAGCATGGGACTCTGGAACAGGGGTGGGGGAGAGTGTCCCAGGACCACAGCTAAGTGGCAGCCGACAGTAAGCTTTTAGAAGACTGTAACAGAAGGATAAAGGGCTGCAGGACAGATGTCTCCAAGAAAAATAGATCAGGCTGATTGATCATCTGAGGGGATTGAATTCCTGATAGGTACCTAGAAAACTGGACAAAAACTTGAAACAATTCACTCCAGGGAAAGAAAACTCCAGGAAAGAAAGTATAATCATAGTCTCCCACATGGCTCAGCTTTAAATAATATTTATGTAATAATATTATAAATACTGAATTCTGATGTGTCCAAAAATTAGGATATGACTGTATTAGGAGAATGGGGAAGAGGAAGAGTTGTGTACCGGGGTAGAGAAATAAGAATTAAATCCTCACTTTCTGTTTTAATAAATTATATCTAAACCTGAAAAAAAAATCAAGAAGTAGCTGTACGAGCATATTATTTAGAAACTGGGAGGTACATACTTGGAAACATTAAATTTAAGCAGTGGGTCAAGAGTGTAATAAGGTGAGGTGCTTTGCTTCATAATTAGGCTTTTAGTGTTTGACTTTTAAAATAATGTACAGGTCTAACTTGATAAAACTTAAAATGAATGAATTAATTAAATAAAAGGCCAGGGGAAGGAGAAATAAAATAGAAAAGAGATTTATTGGGGGGATGGAACATTCTGTTCCTTTGCATTTTAAATTGGGGCAGGGTGCAACAAACTATTTAATATGTGCAAAATAAATAGTAAGATATATACTTAGGATTTACATGGGACTAGTTATATAGCAAAGACAGGGAGACACAGACGATACAGAAATAAAAAAAATAGCAGATGATAGAGAAATAAAAAAAGGAAGGAAGGGGAAGAAGAGAGAGAAACAAATGCCAGGACACAGAAAGACATACCCAGACACATATACAAAAAGTGAGCATTGTGGAGCAGAGGAAGAAATCCACAGGTACACTATAGTAGTATATACATACACACACGCATGTATATGCACAACCAAATAAGGACAGAGACCCAAGTTTTCATAGGTAACATTTCACAGGTTTGTTAAATAGCACAGACTAAGGTGATTGCCACTACACATTCCTCCCACCTCCACCACGAAATTAAACCTCTGCTATCAAGACTCACTTGCACACAAACCTGTTTGGCTCAGTAGATAGAGCGTCGGCCTGTGGACTCAAGGGTCCCAGGTTCGATTCCGGTCAAGGGCATGCACCTTGGTTGCGGGCACATCCCCAGTAGGGGGCGTGCAGGAGCAGCTGATGAGTGATTCTAACTCTATTTCTCTCCCTTCCTCTGTCTATATTAAAAAAATAAAAAAAAAAAAAAAGGCTCAGTTGTGCCTGACTGGGATGGCTCAGGGGGTTGAGTGTCAACCTATGAACCAAGAGGTCAGAATTTGGACACTAGTTAGTATACAATTTTACCTATATGTTCCCAAAAATTCTAGTTTAGCACTTCTTAGTTGGGAATCAGGAATCTGTATTTTAACAACTCCACCAGGTGATTCTCATCATGAGAGAAGTTTGGGAAACACGGCCCTAATGAACAAAGGGTGTGTGTGACTGAGAAAGGAACCGGGTATTCTGACAAAGAGATTTCTGCCTCCGGAGACTGGAGGTGACGCCACTGACTGAGATGGGAGTCTAAGACATGGTGGGGGCTGGGCGGAAGGCCATGAGTATAGTTGTGGACACGCCTTGAGGTGGGCCCGGGGAAAATTGCCCTGTTCTTCTGGATTCCAGGAGAGCGGTCAATGCTGGAAATACTGGTTTGGGAATCATGTGTGTGTAAATACATATTGTAACCTTGGAGAAGGTGTGCTTATCCTGGGAAGACATGTAGCTATAGACGAAATTAGCCAAATGTATCATGAAATGGTGAGAACGCCAGTAATTACGATTATTATTATTACCACTGATGAACACTTCACCTTATGTCAGGCATGTTCTGTGCTAAATACTTTGTATATCATAGTTTTTATCATCAGGATAACCCCTTTGGTGGATATTATTAATCCGATTTGCTGGAAAAAAAAACAAGGATTGATAGATGGCAGAGCTGGAATTTGAACCCTGATCTGATCGACTTTAAATTCAGCATTCATAATCATAACTCCATAAACCTAAACTTAGTTTAAAAAAAAAAAAACTTATGGCCGAGACCAGTTTGGCTCAGTGGATAGAGCGTTGGCCTGTGGACTCAAGGGTCCCGGGTTCGATTCCGGTCAAGGGCATGTACCTTGGTTGCGGGCACGTCCCTGGTGGCGGGGTGTGCAGGAGGCAGCTGGTCAATGTTTCTCTCTAGTCGATGTTTCTGACTTTCTATCCCTCTCCCTTCCTCTCTGTAAAAAAATCAATAAAATATATTTAAAAAAAACACTTATGGATGCAGGTAGACAGAGGAGTTAAAACTCTTCAAACTGTACATTTCATTGTGTGTAAAGTATACCTCTGTAAAACTGATTTGAGCCCTGGCTCGTTTGGCTCAGTGGATAGAGTGTTGGCCTGTGGACTCAAGGGTCCCAGGCTTGATTCTGGTCAAGAGCACATGCCCCCAGTTGCAGGCTCAATCCCCAGTAGGGGGCGTTCAGGAGGCAGCTGATCAATGATTCTCTCTCATCATGGATGTTTCTAACTCTCCCTCCCTCACCTTTCCTCTCCGAAATAAATAAAAATATATTAAAAAAAAAAAAAGAAAGAAACTGATTTGAAAAAATAGCAATGTGATTTTCAGAGCTTCCATTGTGCACCCATTAAAGGTCAATAAGCAGTTGTTAGCATAAGATAATACAAACTTAAAGTGCTAACAAGTGATGAAGGTTGGAACTTAAGAAAGGTTTTGTATAATTTTCTACCCCGACCCAGTCTCACTTAAAAGTTGGCACACTTGCTGAAACCGGTTTGGCTCAGTGGATAGAGCATCCGCCTGCAGACTGAAAGGTCCCAGGTTCGATTCCCGTCAAGGACGTGTACCTTGGTTGCAGGCATATCCCCAGTGGGGGGTGTGCAAGAAGCAGCTGATCGATGATTCTCTCTCATCAATGTTTCTAACTCTCTATTCCTCTCTCTTTCTCTCTGTAAAAAAATCAATAAAAAATATTTTTTTTAAAAACTTGCCACACTTGAAAACAAATACACAAAAATTTGTGGGTTGAATAAAGCTGTTAGTTTTTACAACAGGAACCTAAAGTTCTGCATGCTAAGATACTCTACCTTAGGGTTTCTCCACCTCAGCACCATGGACATCAGGTCAGGTGCTGCTTTGTTGAGGGGGGCTGTCCTATGCATTGTGGGATGTTTAGCAGCATCTCTGCCCTTTACCTGTTAGTTGCCAGGAGCAAATGCATCCTCAGTTGTGACAACCAATAATACTGCCAGATGTCCCCTTTCCCTTACCTTAGCTCCACCTAGGGGGGCAAAATCCCCTGGCTGAGAACCATGCTCTAGCTACCAGTTAGCACATCACCTGGCTAGTAGAGGCTCCTCTTACGCTGCAGTACCACCAGGGCCAGGGGCTCAGGCCCACTGACTAGATGCGGAGTATTTCTAGGTCCTTTTCTGGCCACCTTCTGGGAGGGACAGGGGTTGCTTGCCTGCTTGGCAGGGAACTTCCACTGCCACACTCCTTTCACCCTCCCCCAGGTCCCCCAGCCCGTGGTTTTATGCAGCTCCCTCATCTGCACCTCCAGCAGCAATGGCTGTCCTTTCTCTGTCCTCTCGTACCCTCCCCACCCACGTGTTCTCCCCCTCTGAGGTGTAATGAGTGGTGGGCTATTGCTGGACAGGCACAGAGCCTCTTTTCCTGCAGAGATCCTCATCTCGCTTTTATTTATTTATTTTTAAAAAAATATATTTTATTGATTTTTTACAGAGAGGAAGGGAGAGGGATAGAGAGCTAGAAACATCGACCAGCTAGCTGCCTCTTGCACACCCCCTACTGGGGATGTGCCCGCAACCAATGTATATGCCCTTGAGCAGAATTGAACCTGGGACCTTTCAGTCCGCAGGCCGACGCTCTATCCACTGAGCCAAATCAGTTTTGGCCCATCTCGCCTTTAGAAGGGCAAAAGGGAATCCTTCTTCCACCATAAGGAAGGGCGGGCTGGGGGCAGGGCTCTTTCAGAGCAATGATAGAAGATGCCAAGGTTGGGTGGTCAGCCCTCTACCTCTGTTATTGGAAAGGAGGTGGATTACTCCCACCCCACCCCAGTAGGGAATTCTAGAAGTGAACTGTCCCTCCTGCCAGGAGCTTTTCCCACCCTGAGTGAAAGGGTTTGCCTCTGTAAGAAGCTCTTACCAGGAGCTGTCTTCTTCCCCTTACCTTAGAACCACCTGGGGGAAGGGGGGAATAGAAAGAAATACAAAGGAGAGGAGGGGAAGTTTTCCTCATAGATCTTTTCACTCACTCAAAGTCAAAATAAAGGGTGGAGTGAGAGAAGTATTCTCTATTTTTATTCTCAATTTCCATATCTTTAAGTAGACCAACCATGACAGTTTTATGACCCAAATGCAAAGATACATTTTTATGTTACTCAATGAGCAAAGTGACTTCAGATCTGAATGGGCAGGAAAATAAATATTACACATAAAATTTTCCTTCTAGTTTC